ACACTCTCAAGAGAGGGAGACTTTGAGGTGGAGGTTGGGGTGAGATTCCCCCTCCCATAACTTTTGTCATGTCGGGTGGGAGTGCGTTGACTGGGCACAGAGATTTGCCCCAAGTTTGGCCTCCGCAAACCATGGGAACCTGGGAAACAGTAGCAGGGAGTCCTCAAGTTATGACCACAACGGGAACCCCAACATTTATGTGGCTAAGGGAAGACACTTTGGCGAGTTCTGCCCCGTTTTATGACTTTCTTTTGCTGCCGTCATTAAGTAAATCACTGCCATTCTTAAATGAGTGAATCTTCCCCTCCTTGACTGCTCATCGGGTCACAAAAGGGGAATCACCTCTCTCTCTCTCTCTCTCTCTCTCACACACACACACACACATACACAGGACAAACTGCAGCCGTCATAAGTACGAGCCATTTGCCAAGCATCTGAATTCTAATCACGTGACAGGAAGAGATGCAGCAGGGGTCAGAAGTGCGAAAAATGACCGCAGGTTACGTGAACGGTCACTAAATGGAAAGTTGGGGACTATGTATACTTAAGTATGTTTCCTGCCTTGAATTATTTATCAAATAATAATAATAATAAAAATAATAAAAAGGACAGGACATAAATGCGAGTGGCTCTTGTCTTGCCACCCACTCCTTCGGTGTTGCCACGGGCACCGGGAAAAAAAAGCACCTTATGACCTTTCCTCACACTTGCAGCCTCCCCACGGTCACGTCAACGGAATTCTTGGCAACGGACTCCGTATTTACGACGGTCACAGTGTCCCGGGGGAATGACGCGATTCTCAAGACAAGCCAGATTCCCTTGAGAACCGTGTGGACGAAGGACCGCAGTGATTCCCTTTAACAACCGTGGAAAGAAAGATTGCAAAACGCGATTGCAAAGCTTTTTTTAGCAACCGTCTTAACTCAGCAGTGAAAAAAAATCTCCATCTCAATTGTGGTTGTTAAGTCGAGGACTACCTGTGAATGTGGGAATTGGGGCGCCCCAAGGAAGCCGCCGGGCAAGAGAGCAGAAGTTGAGTTGAGCCACCCACCCAAATACACAGATTGGGGGGAAGGGAGCAATGAACGTAGCCAGCAGTCGGGTGGTTTTTATTTTTAAAAAAAGGACATTTATTTTATTGATTCAAATAAACAGAAGACAGGTGAGCGGCAGCAGGCGGAAGACGTCCGGTGCTTCTCCTCCGGCCGCCCTATTTGTAAGAATTCGCTTTGTGTTTCGGCAGGAAAGAGAAGTTGGCAGGAACGGGGCCCAGCAGCATCTCGCTGGAAGAAGGAAAGAAAAAAGAAAAACTTGGGATTATTGAGGATGTGAGGAATTCCAAAGGTGCGTCCAGGAGAGGGCCGGGCTCTGCCTCCTACCTGATCTTCACCCAGTCGTCCACGTTTTGGCTAGCCATCAGGGTCTCCAAGTAGTCCCGGCCCACGTAGTAAGGGGGCCTTTCGTTGATCCGCTGCGGCAGGCGCTCCAGCAAGCCGACGGGGATGTATCTGGGGGAAAATAAACAGCTGGGAAGGAGATTCTCAGCCCAAAGGTGCTTTTTTCTTTGAAGACTGAATTGAATGGAATTTATTGCATTTATATGCCGCCCTTTTCCCCGAAGGGGACTCAGGGCGGCTCACAATCCAAGTCGGGGAAGGGGATACAGATAAGGGGATACAGATAAGACGTTTCCCCTCTCCTCCAAGAAGCTTCTTCAGCTCTTTTTATTATTATTATTTTTTTAGCAGATTTTTTGCTAAAAAACAGTCATTACATCAACAGTTTTTTTTTTGGGGGGGGGTGTTCAAAAGTTTTATTTTCTTTTAAAACAAACATTTTCATCATTCCTCAATCAGTAAGACATCGGAGTACAACTTTTTGTGTAT